TATATATATATATATATATATGTATATTTATATATATATATATATTTTATTTTTTTTATTTATTTTTATATTTCATTAAAAAAGTCTAGAAAACATTTATTTTTATTTTTTTAAGTAAGCCTCATTACATTAAGCTATCTAATCTTTTAATTTTAGAACTTCATTAAGTTAGTTTTATTCAATTTAATTTTTTTAATCACTTAAATGACAGTCTAAAATTTTAAATGCATTCTCATATTCATTTAATTCTTTTAATCCAAAAGCTTTCCTATAAATAACTTTGGTATATTTAGGTTCTATTTCAATAATTTTATCACAACAAGTAATTAATTTATTCCATTTTCCTAATTTCATATAACAAAGTGTAGTATTTAATAAACTTGAAATTTTATGCTTTTAATTTTTTTTTTTTTTTTTTTTGTTTAATTCATTTTTTTTTTTACTTAATAAATATCAATAGCATCTTATCCTTCATATTTTCCTAAATCAAAAAATGCATTTATAGACTCAAATGTTTTTAAAGCTTTTCTATAATTATTTTCCTTTTTTTTTATGTTATGTATTGTTATTTATTTTTTTACTTTTATTAATTTTAACCCTATGATTTTTTTACGTTAAGCATGTAATATTCTTTCTTAAATATTCATTGAAAAAGTATTAAGTCCTTATGTAAAATTATAAAGCTTAATATGATAAATAACTTCTTGAGGAAATTCTAGTTAATTAAAATTTTATTTGATTATATTATAATCTATTCCATATTTAATTAGTTTATTATCTTTACATATAATAATAGATTCTTCTTGTTTTTTCATTAATCTTAAAGCATTTTTCAGAAGTTTAGATATATTGTATTCATCTAAATAATATTTTAAACAAAAGTTTTCTTTTTCTATTAATTAAATCTAGTTTTCGTCATTTTCTAATGATAGTTCTTTTTCACAAAAAGGACTTTCGTAAATAATTTTAGTAAAAACTTCTATTTTTAAAGAAAAATAAACTCGGCATATTTTTTCGAGTTTTTAATTATTGGATCCTATTATTGTCCCTTCTTTTTGAATTTTCTTTATTGCCATTTCGTCTTGGAATATATCTTAGATTTAAATCAATTTTTTTAAATTTATTTCTAATATATATGATTAGTCATCACTATTTATAAACTATTCTTTATATTTTAAAGAAGTCTCGTATTCTTAAAAAGCTTACTAAAATATCTCACAAACAGCTATTTCTTATTCTTTCATTGATCTCAAAACTCTCCATATACATTCAGATAGATTATCTTCTTTTAAATAGGTATTTATTTAAACTATTTCATTATTTTGCCTTTCATCAATTATTTCTCCATTTTTTTTACTTAGTTTATAATTAACTTTTTTTTATAATAAATAAATACATATATATTTTTATTTTAATATTTTTTTATTTTTTATTTACATTTTATTTCGTCTTGCTTTTAAGGACGTTTTTTTCCTTAACCTTTTTAGAGTATTTTTTTTAGTATTTTACCATTTGTTTTAATATCTGATATTTATTTAAAATCTTATAAATGGACCAAATAATGTTTTCTTTATTCAATTTATTTTTTATTGTTTTCATTCATTTTTATATATTCGACACAAAAATAGCTAATTTCATTTTTTTTCATACTTTCTAAAGAAATATTAAACCATTCTTTTTCATTATTTTTATCTTTTAAATTAAAAAAAATATATAAAAATTTATTTACAATATTATTTTTTACATAAATATAATTATTTTTCAGGTTATTTATTTATTTATTATATATAATTTTCAATTAATTTTTCTTGTTATATTTCTTTATTTTTTTAAGAATTCGGATTATCTATTTCTATGTATTTTAATTTTAATTCATCAAAGTTTTTAGGTTTAATAGATATTTATGAAGCCTTTTTATTATTATTTTAATTTTTTTAAAATTTTTACTTGAAATATCTCTTTGTAAATTTTATATGTTTTAGTTTTTTAAAGAAGAGTTCTTTAACAAATTTTATCTTTTTCAGTTTGTTATTAGTTTTCTGATTAATTTGAGTTTTCAGATTAATTATCCTAATCAAAATTATTATGATAATTCATATTTTTTGTTTATTATATAATTTAAAAAATGATATTTTTTTTAATAAAAAAAAAAAAATTGTAAATATTATATTTTAATTTTAGTAAAAAATCCAAAAAAACAATTTTTTTTTTAAAAAATTAATTTTTTATAAATAAAAATACTAATATATATCTTGTTTAAAAAAATCACCAATCTTAATCATTATCAACAGTTTATTATTCTTCGTCTTAATTAACTTGTTATTATTATTAATCTGTTTTATTTTATTTATTTTTCTTCTTTTTATTCTTATGTTTTTTTTATTAATCATCTTCTTATTTTAATTCTTCTTGTTCTTATTTTTATTTATTATCCTACTTCTCATTTATTATCCTACTTTATATTTATATTTTAATTATTTATTATTATTATTATTATTATTATTATTATTATTATTATTTTCATATTTATATTCTTCTTCTTCATTATTATCTTCTTCATCTTTATCAACTTGGCAGTATTTTTATTAATTTTTTATATATTTATTTAAATTATCTTCTACTATTTCCTTTTCTAAGAGCACCTACAATTAAGCCATTTCTTCGCAATGTTATTCTTTAGAAAAACAGCTATTTTCACATCTAATATATTTTTTTATATAAACAAAAAATAATTAATCAAATTAGATATATATATATATATTTAAATATTTAATAAAATTATTATGAATAAATACGTATAAATAGCAATAATTCCCCAGTCAAAGTTTATAAGTTATTTAAGAAAAGACAAAATCGAAGAATTAATTTAAAATTCAAAAATAAGTTATTTTTTACATTAATTGCATTTAAATTCATTATCTTTATTCCATTATTTCTTATCTGAATACCATAAAGGTTAAGTTTATTTATTTCTACAATATCTAACAACATGAGGTCCTTATTTTTTTAATAAAAAACAGTATTTTTCAAAGGCTAAGTCTATATCATCATCATCATCACTTTCATTTTCTTCATATTTATCTATTTGTTGACTTATTTAATTATCTTCGAATGCTAATTAGATAAATTATTTCATTAACTCGTTTTCCTTTTCGCTTGTTTATATAGGTTTTTTCTAAAATTCTTTATCGTCAACTTCAAATGGAGTATATATTTTTTAAAATTCAAGTTCTAAATCTTATGTTTCCTTTAAACTTACTATATCTGTTGAAATTATATAACTTTCTAAAGTATTAATGGGATTTTATTAAAAAAAGGGAGAAATTTCTTAATTTTTTGATTATTAAACTCTTATGATTTTTATGGAATTTTATTAGTTTTAACATGTTGTATTTTGGCAGAAAAATATGTACAAAATACGATGATAGGCATGACTATATTCTTCTAAAGGGGCATATAATTATAAAAGGAAAATCATTTCATTATTACATATACTACATTTTATTTATTATAATTCTTAATCTTTATTTATGAAGAGCTATTTTTTTTTTTATTTTTTGGTTTTTTTTTTTATATAATAATAATACTGGTTATCCACCAATTAATGAAGGGAAGTCTTCCTCGAAATTTTACTCTTTTAAAAATTTTTCATTTTAATCTATTTTTTAGGGAAATCCGATTATTATTTCTTATTTTATGTTCATTTTTTTATATTATTATTATTTTTTAAATTTATACTTAAATTTTTTTTTTTTTTATATTTTATTAAAATAAAATAAAATCAAAATATTTAACAATAAATAAAAAATATAAATCTAACAAAAATAAAATAAAATACTATATATTTTTAATTTCTATTTTTTTTTTTAAAAAAAAAAAAAATTATTAACTATTAAAATAATAAATATTTATTTATAAAAAATAAACAAATATTTTTTATATTTAAATAAAAATAAAAAAAAAAATGAATTGTTTTAAATGTCAATAATAATTTAATGAATAAGAGAGATGTCCTCGTCTTTTAATTGATTGTGGACATTCATTTTGTGAAAAATGTATATATTAAATACACACTAATAGACTTTTAATATGTCCTGAATGTTCTCGGATAAGTTTTATAGATAATATAATGCGTTTACCTAAAAATTTAGCTTTATTAAATGCAAAAGGAAACGAATATAATCCTTAATTTTAATGTTTTAAACATTAAAAATAATATGAAGGTTTTTTTTTTTTTTTTTTTAAAAAAAAAAAAAAAAAGAAAGAAAATTATTTAATTTTTTTATAAGAAAGCTTTTTGTGTGTTAGATAGTTGTCTTTTGTGTATTTCTTGTATTTTAGAGGATAATCATAAAAACCATGATTTATAATCTTTAGAATTAGCCAAAAATATGGAAACAAATGAACTTGAAGAGAATATTTAATAAATTAAATAAGAAAAGTTAAAATTAGATAATTTCCTTGTATAGTTGTGGCAAAAAATGGATGAAAATATAAAATTTTATACTTAAAATATTAAATAAATTGAAGATCTTTTTGATAGTTTAAAGCTTTTTTTAATCGAAATAGAGAATAATTCGAAAAAAAATACACAAAATATATATTAAAATAAAGAAATATTGATAAAAAAACATCAGGAATAGTGTGAAAAATACTCGAAAGTTTTAGACTAACATATTTAGATTTAAAATTAAAATAAAAATTGTTAAAGTACTTAATTTTTAGAGCTTTCTAAATAAAGGAAGGAGAACTTTTTATAATTTAAATAAGAAATTATATAAAATTCAAGTTTTTATTAAGAAATTTAATATTGTATTAATGAAAGCTTAAATTAAGAATTTTCCAATGAAAATCAAGTTTTAGATATTATTAATTAATTAAAAGTTTTATATTTAAAATAAAATAATTAAGAAATATATTAAAATTAATAATAATAATAAGCAGTTATTAATAAAAATACTCATAAATAAAAAAAAGTACTCGAGAATATTAAAAATACTGTTGAAAATAAATAATAATAAAAAAATACAAATAATTAAAAAAAGAAAAGTTAAACTCATAAATAAAATAATACTACTAATAATAGTAATATAAAATAATAATAAAATACATAAAATTAATAAAAATAAAATTAAATACAATAATAACAAAATTAAATATAATAACGATAAAATTAAATATAACAATAAAATCTAATATAACAATAATAAAATTAAATATAACTATAAAACTAATAATAATTAAATGTAATAGTTTGTAAAAAATTGAATAATTATCAAGAAATGAGAAATCAATTAAAAGAAAAACTTACATAAGAACGAAAAAATTTTTCTGTTCATAAAAAAGATGAGAATACTTTATAAATATAAACAAATAAATAATTATAAAGTCCTAATGTATTAAAAAATATATATACATCTGAATAATACAATTTGAATTTATAAAAAACGGCTCCTTAATAAATAAAAAGTGACTCATCATCTCCTTTTAAAATAAATAAAAAAAATACTAAATCTTTCCTATAGAAATAAAAATCAACTGAAAATTATGATACATAAGATAAAAAATTGAAGTTTAAAATTATTTAAGAAAACAATTATATATAAGAAGATTCTTTATTAAAAAATAAAAATATTTAAAAATAATATGTTTACTTAATAGGAGGTTTCGAGGAAAATGAAGTCAATTATATATATAAATATGATACTTTAGAAAATTAATGGGCAATTCATGATAAAATGCACTAAAATAGGACAAAATGTTAATGTCAAATTATGTTAAATGGAAACATTTTTATAATTGGTGGAAAATAAGATGGTTAAAGGATAAATTTTATAGAGGAATATAATATCAGTTAGAAAAAAATAACATCAGCACCCATTTAATTAATTTAATAAAAAAGTGGATTCGGGATAGCTTATAGAAACGATCTATTATATGTTATTGGAGGAAATAATGGACAATAAATATTAGATAGTGGTGAAGTTTATGATTTTATGTTAAAATAAATACGCTAAATACCCTAAATGTACGAAAAAAGGGACGAACTAGCCTTAACATATGGCCTAGATGGCAAAATATACTCAATAGGAGGTTTTGGGGGAGAACTTAACCAATGTTTGAATACAGTAGAAAGATATGACCCTCTATATTAAAAATGGGAAAAAATAGCACCTTTAAATAAAGCTAGAAGAGCTCTATGTGCAGTTACTGGAATTAATGGAATATATGCTATAGGTGGTTTCGATGGAAAAGAATATTTGAATTGTGTAGAAAGATATGACGAGGGTTTGGGAAAATGGGTTTTTATGAAAAATATGCATTTTAGGAAATGTACTTTTTCAGCAGTTGTGGATAGTTCAATGCAGTTTTTTTATATTTTCGGAGGATTCGATAATGAACCATTGGATTGTGTTGAAAGGTATATATGTATATGATTTTTTTAAGTTAAATTTTATTAATATTAGGTATGATATTTAAAATAATAAATGGGAAATTCGCAAAAGTATGCCGAGAAAAAGATTTATGCATTGTTCAGTTATTTTATGAGAATGATATTATTTTGATATTTTAAATTTAAATTCATTTAATTTTAATATTAATAAGTTAATAAAATTATACTAAAATTTTAAGGTTATATAAATATATTTAAAAAGAAATCTTTTATTTGAATTATATATATTTATATTTTAAAAATATATATAAAGATATATATATATATATATATTTATAATATTTATTAAAATAAATAATTATAATAATATTTTTGTATTAAAATTAATTTATATCATTAAATTTATATTTTTGTGTTTAAATCTTATATCTTTTCTGAAATGTTAGAAAGTATTTATTATTGTTCTACTTTTAAAGCTTCATAATCATTTTCAATCTTTTTTTTTATTATATAACAAAATTTAAAAAATTTTAAATACATTAATAGGAAATTTTCTACCCAAATTTTCTTTTTTAATAATAAAATTATGATAATTTTAAAACTGTATTAATTAATTTTTATTTTAAGCTAGTAAATCTTTATTATCTTAATTATCTTTATTATTATTTTTATTAAAAAACATATTACTAAGAAAAGATTTATGAAAGTCCTTATTTTTAATATTTTTTTAAAAGAAGGTTTTGCTAATTTTTTCTTAAATTTCTAAATTAGAATTTAATTCATTAATTTTTGTATTTTTTTTTTCTGAATTAACGAATTTTGTTGAACTAAAATAATCTATTTGATCAATGTTTTTTCTAATTCTTTTAGGCTTTGAATTTTTACTTTATTCTTTTTCAATATTATTTATATTTATTTTATTATCTTATTTATCTTGGTTTATTTAAAATTATATTCTTAATCTTTTTCGACGGTCTAAATACCATTATTATATTATTATTGTAGCTTAATAAACTACTATTTTTATATTAAATTTTGTTTATTATTCTACTTATTTTTTTTTAATATTAGCATTTTTTAAACCTTTTATTTTTTGAAAGAAAAAATATTTATATTAATTTTATTTTATATAAAAAATACCATTGTATTTATCTTCCCATAATTTAACTACATTTTAAATAACTATATTTTACATTCTATTTTTTATTTTAAATGTTTATATATTTATAATAAAATAATATACATAATTTTATTATCAACAATATTCTTATCATAAACTTTATTTTCTATAGCTTTTCTTATAATAATATTTCTTGATAATTTCATACAGAAATCGCTAAAATGAACTTATTGATTATAATATAAATTAATATTGAAATTTTTTAATTATTAAAGTAAATCCTTTTTTGAAATAATTATTTTCTTTTTAGTTTTTGGATTAAATAAATAATTCTATTTTTCGTTTTTTCCATTTGTATTTGTATAATTAAAATCCCCATTTTATTTCAAAACGAAATTATTTCCTTCATTTTATAATCCAAACCATTAATTAATTTCCAAAAGAATAAAATAGAAATCTATAGGATCTATAAAACCATTCCCTTCAGGGTCATATTCTTTCCATTTATCCAATATATATTCAATCTAATTACTACTTATAATAACTTCAGATTATTTTAAAGTCTATAAATAACCGTCTATTACATAAGCCAAAAAAAGGCTTACTACAATATATCTTACAAAACATACAATTAAAATAAAATATATATAACTAAATGAATTTGCACATCCATTAATTCCTTAAGACTACTATTCTTCATACGTTTAAGTTGAGCAATTTTAAGAATTCAAAGAATATTGTCTTATGTATTAATCCCAATTTTAATTAGTTATACATTCCAATACTAATAAAAGACTGCTTTAAAAACTTTAAAAATTCAAATCGTAATTATAAGTAAAAATTCCTTCATATTAGTTATAGTCAGGGCTATTATCATATTTTTTGGTTGAGGAAAATAAGTTCATGCCTAATATTGTAAATATAAAACTCCACAAAAATATTAAACCGGCAATATTTAAAAGAGAAGGTAATAAATAGTATATTGTATCAACAATATTTTTTATTGATTGAACATTATTTATCTATTTTTTAATTATATAAATATATATTTTTATTATTTTTACAATATGAAATATCTTTCCTAATCTTAAAGATCTAGCTATTATAGGTAAACTATATAGTTATTTTATATTATAAAATTATCCAATAAATAAACTTAAATCTGTTAATATTAATACTAAAAAATCAAGTCTTTTTATTTAATTATAAAATAATTTTAATAATATATATATATAAACAAAATATATATATATATATACAATTAAAAATATACTTATTCCAAGAGTCTTTGAAATATATAGAACCTAATCCTAAAATTTTAATAATAGCTTCAATATGAAAAATTCCCAAAAAAATATAATTTAGAACATTAATAAGAAGTCTTCCATATTAAGGAATTCCCTTATAATTACAAGCTTTAACAATAATATTACAAAGTATTAATATAATAACAATTTTTTAAAAAGTTTTATTTTTCTAGATTTTATAACATATTTTTCTGTATTTATTTTCTGGTTATTTTGTATCTACTTTTAATTTACTATTAGTAAAAAAACGTTAAATATCTACCCATTCCTATTATATTTTCGATAAATTTGTTTAACCGAACATTTCGTCTTTTATTCGATTGAATTTGCTAACTACTAAGCCAATATAGAGATTCATACCGTATATATTTCCCAAAAAAACAAGGAAAAAGTATAGGGCACAATAATTAAAGTTATTTTTAAGTATTGGCTATTTATCTATATCTACAAAATCAACAGATGCCCACATTATTGGAACCCAATTTTCACCTGTAAAGATCTTTATTATTTTATTTTTTAAAAAACTTGTTTTTTTTATTTTTACTTTTGCCAGATTTACAATAGAATTTAATATATTGTCGTAATTAAAAAAAAGTTTCTCCATTCTCCTTATTAATCTTAACAGTCTTATTTTGTTTGGATTTTTTTTTAAATTTCTTAAGATTGTAAATTACAATAATGAAATCCTCCTTTAAATCTATCTACTAAAAATATAGAAATTATCCATATTATTATCCCTGAGGTTAAAACCAAGCTTACTAATATAGGAATTGTTTAAAATAAACCATTTACTAATAATTTTAATGATTAATTTCTTTAAATTACTCTTAAAGGCCTCAAAGCACGTAATGCCCTTAAAGATTTTATTGATTTTAATTATTTAATTTCAAAAATATCAAAAAAATTCATTAATGAAATCTTTTTTTTTTGTTTAAAAAAAATAAAAAAAAACACACACACACATTTTTTTATTTTAACTGTAATAATAGTAAAATCTAAAAGATTCCAAATATTCCTTATATATGAGTATTTATTATTTGAATAATTTAATATAAATCCTTAAGCAATTATTTAAATAATAGCCTCTAAGCAAAATAATGTGGTGGAAAGTATATCTAGAATTAATAAAAAATATTTAAATGTACTATTTGGATCATCTAATGGATTATCAAATGCAAGAATTATTGAACTAAATAATATTAAAACTAAAAAAATGTTTTTATTTAAAAAAATAAAAATAGAAATAGTTCTTTTATTTTTATTATTTACCCATGACCGATAAATTCCAGTATTTATTTATAATTAATTATTTACATTTTTTTCTTAAATAAGAATTTTTATGGAAAATAAAGCAAGAACAATCATTTAAATAATTAAATATTTGTTTAATTTATTATTTCTATATTTATAATTATATATATATATAAAATTATATATATATTTATCTTATTACATAATTAATATGTTTTTTTTAAAGTTTTTTTTGAAATAATCTTAGCTTTCTATTTTTTTAAATCTAGAAGTTTTTACATTTAATTCCTAATTTTTTTATTTAGGAATTGATTTTAAATTCAATAAAAAGGAATTAAATAAAATTTTATCAGATTCTTTTTCCTAATTGTCTTCTTAGTTTAATATTTATTTATTTAATTTTTATTTTTTAATTTTTTTTTTAAGCATTTATAATAAACTAGCTAAAATTTATTTTTTAAATAATATTTTTTATATATAAAAATAAAATACGTTTGAATTCTTATATTTAACTTTATTTAGATGTTTCAATTATTTTTTTACTTTATAAATCAAACGAAGAAATAATTATAGCTATAAATGAATTCAGAAAAATAATTTTACCAACAATCATAAATATAACAAAATAAGGATGAGAAACAGACCCTCCAACTGCTCTAACGCAATTATTCCAAACAATATTATACTAATCACCAGATAATAATACAAAAATTGTGGTTAGAGACTCTTGTATAGTATTAAAATTTAATCTTGGTGACTTTCTTTTTTATTAAATAAAAATATAAATTTATTTTTTATTAAAAAATATAAAATAATTTACCCGTTTATTTAATCATATAAGCCTTTTTCATTAAACATTAATTTTCCCGCAAATAACCACATTCCTATTACTGCTCCTACATACATAAAACAACCTATCATTAATAACATGTTAAAAATTAAAGGAAGACTATGTTTTGCAGCTTCTAGAAGTATTATGTAATCTGCATTTTTAAAATAGGTTAAATTTTTTATTATTATTATTCCTTTTATTGCTGATATAGTAGAATAAGAATTATTTGATAAATTATGTATCTTTTATATTATATTATTTTATTTTATTATATGTTATGTTATGTTTTAAAATTTTATTTTATTATATGTTTTGTTAGGTTATTTAATTTAATTTTATTTTATTTAATTTTATGTTGTCTTAAGATATTTAATATTTATTTTATGTTTTTTATTTTATTTTAATATTTTAATTTTTTATATTTTTTTATATTTTTTTACGAAAGAAGATAAGTCTATTAATAATTCAATATATGTAAAAACATTTCTTTCGCTTTTTTCAATTTTTAAAAATTTAATAAAATCTTCAAAAATAAATAAAGATATAAAAAAGAGATTCGTATATTCTTTTTAAAAATAATAATAAGAATAATAATGAATATATATATATAATAATTACATTATTAATTTTCTTTAATATAAATGTTTTAAGGATATTAATTTAAACTTAAAATAATAAGATTACAAAATATACAAATATTCATAAAAACTAAATAATATTAATTCTCATGAATAAAATCAGAAATTTTTTAATATTTATTATTAAAATATTAAATAATATTTGAATTCTATTTGAAAAAACTGAATTTCTATTTAATATTTTAATTATATCTTACAAACTAATTTTGTTTCTAAATTAATAAAATAAAATAATGTATTAAAAAAAGTAAAAATGAAAGATATATATGAATATTTTTTTATTACAATTTAAAATATATATAAATATTTATAAATATATTTTATTATATATTATATTTTTACTGTGTTTTATGGAATTATACTTATATATTTTTTTTTAGATGATTATCTAGAAAATTATAATTTTGTATTTTTTAAAGAAAAAAATGAATTTTTTGGTTTTATTGCATCTTTAAAAACTGATTATCTTTTATTTATTTTTTTAATAATTTTTTAATATTCATCGTTTTCAGTTGTAAATAATTATTAATCGTTATTTTAACTTTGTTTTTTTTTTAAAAAATAAAAAACTATAATTAATATATACTTATTTATAGAACGTAATGTATTTTAAGCATTTAATATTTCTTTTTAATAAATTAATTCATTTTCTTATTTATATATAATATTTTTGTGTATATTTGGTGTATTTTCTTTTTTATGAGGAATATTTTATTATTATATCATACTAGTTTTTTTATTTTAATTTTATTCAGAACAGATTTAATTTATATTTATAGTGCCTTTATAAAATGTTTTAAAATATTATAAATTTTTTGAATCTTCCTTATTATTTTAGTTTTATTATAGTATTTTCGGCTATTAATTTTATTACAAAGTTTTATAAAATATTGCGATTAATAAACTATTTAAAAAAAGGAACCTATTAATATATATGAAAAAAAAAAAAAGGGAACTGAATACAAACCACTAGAGTCTATAAAAATATGCATTTATTATTAATATCCTTCAATAAAATATAATTAAAACAACGTCAAGTATGAATTTGCTAAATTATCAAAATTTATAATTCCGAAATTCAATTAAGCTAATTCATTAATTTAATTACTATTTTCCAAAACTATGTTTTCTTCTGAAAAATACTCATAATTTGAACGACAATATTATCCCTATGGACATTTAAATTATCCTCCACAAACTTTATCAGGAATAGCTTTTATTTTATTTTTTTAATAAAAAAAATATAAATATAAATTTAAATTTAATTTATATTATATTTAATACATATTTCCCAATTTCTATTTATTGGCTTACTTGTATATCTACATCTTTTTTAAAATAAATTAATTGTATTTATATTAAATATAATCTACCTATAATCAGTATTTCCAACCCATAAATTTATTCCTAATATACTAAAAAGAGTCATGAAAAAAATAATAAAAAAAATAGTTTTAATTATTTAAGGAATCGAGTTTTTATATAAAGTTAAGATTTAATGGCAATATTTTAAAATTGATATTTATTTAGTATATTCGAAAACATAAAAAATTCTAAAAACAAAAAGATAAACACAAGATTAATCGCCAAGAGCTATTAAAAAAAAATAACGATAATAATAACATTATTAATATTTCTTAAATAACAAAATTGATTCTAATATAGGCCTCTTGCTATTATTTTTAAAATAGCTTCAAGAGAAAAATATGCAATATAATAATATTTTGACTGTTAAAAATAATGGTTTTTATTTTTAGTTGTAAAATCAAATATTCCCATTAAAATTCCCATAGAAATTATTACTATTAAAGTTAAAAGTTTGTAAAAATAAGATTCTGTTAACCAAACTGCTAATCTTCTTATAATATGATCTTTTTTGAATATTTGACAACTTTCTTTACAATAAGTGAACCTTTTTCCATGAAAATAAAAATTGACAAACTTACTCTGGGTTGTATTATCATAATAGCTTTATTTTTTAAGAAACATATTTCGGAATATTTATGTTTGGATTCGATTATTTTCTTAACTATTTAAATTTTATTCATTTGTAATTTTTTTTGGATTTATTTATTGCTATTAATCTTGTAAATATCGAGGGTTTATGTCATATCTGGAATTTTATTCGTTTATTGCATCGAAATCTCTTTGTGAAAACTCTAAAGGGATTTTTTAATTTTAAAATTTTTAAATGATTGTTTTTCAATATTTTTATTTTCATAATTTTAATTGAAAATGTTTTTTTAATTATAGTTTAAATTATAAATTTTTAAAATATAAAAAATAATAATTTAATTAAGTTATTTATTATATAGATATATTTATCATTTTTTGATAAAGTTTTGTTTATGTATTATTTCATTAAATTTCTAATTTATATGTTAAAAATGTTAATTAAAATAATTTTTATATAAAAATTAATTATTAATATAATAAATTAAATGTAATATTTAAATTAGTTTATATTTTATTAATAAAAAAATTAATTTAAATTATATTTTCCTAAATTAAAAATTTATAAAAAAACTGAAATATGCATTATATTTTATATTTTTGTTTTTTGTTTTTTTGTAATTCTTTAAATTTTTTAAGATTTAAAATTTCTTATTTTTATTTTGATTTTTTATTTAGAAATTTTATTTTAAAAACTATTATTTATAAAACAAAGATTTAAATAATAAATAGCTTTATTAATTTACTTTTATTAAAATAATTTATTTAAGTTACATTCAATTTTATATTATATGGATTTTTACTTAGTATTTTTTTTTTTTTATATATATACTACATATTAATTGTTTTAGGCTTAAAAGTATTATAATTCATCATAATTTTAGAATTTTTATTAGATTAAATAAATAATAAATAAAAAAAAGATTATTGTTTAATAAAATATTTTCAAACAAATAATTTATTTTAATACTTATTAATATTGATTTAGTAAATAATAATATTTGCATATATAAGAAATTATTAATTTTATATATATTTTAAATATTTGTATTTAATTATTTTAAAAAATAGTATAAATTAGAGAATTTTTTTTCTTTTTTTGTTATTATATATATAAATATATATAATTATAATGATATAAAGATACATTTTTTATCTATTAATTCCATATAAAAGATTAATAAAAAAATAAATGCAATTTTGTACATTAGCTACATTCCCTAAAAAGGAAATTAGTTAAAAATTTTAATTCTAAATAAAAATATAGAAATATAAATTGTATATATGTAAACTAAAAATATTTTATATAATTAAAGAATTATATAATTAAAAAAATAAATAATTTTTAGTTAGATTATATATTTATTATTTAAAGAAACTTATCTATTAATTACAAAAATTAAAATTACTTAAAAAATAAATTTTTTTAACATTTTAAAGTCTTTTTTATTATACGCCAAATTCAATTAATATTTATTATTATTATTCGAGTAATTTATTAATTACTCCCATATTTTTATAATATTTTAGAGGAATTTTTTATTATTATTATTCTAATTCACAAGTTTTTATTTTTATTTTTGATATTATTATTTATAAATACAAACTATTCGCTTCAGCTAACCAATATATTTTATTTATATAATATATTAATTATGTTTTTTTCATAGTAATTTGATTATTCATTATTTTATGTATTATGTTAACCATTAAATTAAATTATTAATTTTGTTAATAAATAATTTTTATAAATATATATTTTTTATTTTATGAAATCTTTTACGATTATATTATTCTTTCATAAAAATACATGTCCTTATAAAAATTAATTCAATATAAACCATTTATAATAAAAAATATATATATATAAAATCAATTATATAAAAAAAGTTATTAAAATAATTTTATTAAAAAATATTTCAAGAAACAAATTAATATTAATTATATTTCTTTATAAAAAAATTATTATAGATTAAAAAATTATCAAAATATAATATTTAATATATTTATTTTTTTAGATTAGATTAGAAATATATAAGAATATATATTGATATTTCTAATAATTTTTATATGGATAAAATAACTTTAAACGTCAAATATTATAATTTTAAAACTAATATAATGACTTAAATTATTTTATAAATAAAAAAACTAAATATAATATAAAATATATAATTTTAATGTATTTGAAAAAAATACATATATTAGAATCTATAAAATAAAGTAAATGTATTCAATAATTAAAAAATAACTTTTATTTAAATATTAATAAAAAATTAAATGGAATATAATTTTTATTCATTATAATATATTATATATATAAATATATTTATTTATATATATATATATAGATATTTTTATATATATATATATAAATTATATATTTAATATTATTATTTAAAAAAATTATTATAAAATATATTTATTATTTTTAATATTTATTATTTCTAATTATTTTTTAATTATTATATTTATTTTAAAGTAATTTTATTTATTATTAATAATTTTTTATAATATTTAAGTATGCATAGATTATATATATAATATATTATTTTTAATCATTTTTAAGATTTTATATTAATTTTGAAATAATATTGAATATACATTATAATTTATATATTATTAATGTATTTAATTTAAATTAGTTAGTATGATAATAAATATTAATGTAACTTTATAATATTTAAAACAAAAAACAACAATTATGCTTTAGTTTTTAAAAAACTAAAATATGTTAACATATATTTTATACCTTTTGATAATTTATAAATATTTATGTTTTTGAAAAATTATTTTTAATTTTAGATTTATATTAATTAATATTAAAATATAAATATATTATTTTTATATATAATATTTAAAAATATTTATTTAACAAAATTATATTTATTTCTTATAAAAAAATAATATAAAAATAAATTATTTATAATTATTTAATATTTATATTTTATATATATTTATAAATAATAATTATTTAGTTATTATAAATATTAAATTTAAAATTATTTATATTAAAAAATTATAATAATTTATTTTTTGGAAAATATTATTTATATATATATTTATTAATTTTCTTATTCAATTTTTTTTCTTCTTTTACTTTTTTTTATTTGTTTAATTTTTTTCTAATTCTTATATTCTTTTTATTAATAAATCTTATTTTTATTACATTTTTTCTATTTCATTATATTATTTTTATAATTCTTATTTATAAAATTAAATAGATTCTTATCCTGATATAATATTTTTATCAATTTCTTCGTTTTCTTCAATTAATTTATTTAATTATTTTTAATTATCATCATATTATTTTTATTCTTCATTAATTTCTTAAAGTAATTTATCGTTTTATTCATTTTACATTTATAAAATTAAATTATTTTTTAATTCATTTAGTTCTTTTAAATAATCTTCTTTTACTTTTTTAAATTTTTTAATAAATGCTCGAGATCTGATATTTCTTAGTTTTATTGATTTAATTCTTCTCTCATTTCGTTTTTTTATTTTCTATTTCTAAAGATTAATCATCTTAATTATTTTAAACTTAAATTATTTATTATTAAATTTCTAATAATTTTTTATTTTATTCATCTAAATCTTAGTTTTATTATTATAACTTTTATTTTAAATCTAATTCGTTTTACTATAATTATATTTATTATTGCTTTAGTTTATCTACTTTTTCTATTATTTATAAATTTAGGTTTTTTTAATTTATTAATTCTTCTTATAAACTACCTTAATTTTATAAAATAGCCTATATATAAATAATATTAATTTATTTTGTAAATTTTTTTCTTATATATTTTTGTACTTTTTTATCTTCTAATTCTTAATTTTTTAGGTTTTAAGTTTATTATAGTTCTTTTATTTTTTAAATTTAAATTTATATTTCTTATTGTACTTTTATATCTTATTATAATATTTAAAAATCTAAAATTTTTATTTCTTATATTATTTGTTAAATATTATTTTCTTATTTTAAAATTTCTAATTTATTTGAGTTTTCGCATTATTTTTGTACATATTAATAATAAAAAGCTTATCTATATATAATATTTTAAATATTAAAATTATATAATAATGGATAAGAATTACTATTTCTATATTTCTATTTCATTTTGTTTAAAGTTTTCTTCCAAGATTTACTTTTCTTACATTTATTTATTTATTAAATCTTAGTTTTACGAAATTTCATCATTATTACTTAAGTAAATTTAATTTTATTTTTGATTTTCAAGTATATTTTATTAATATTCCATATAGGTTTTTTTTAATATTTCATTTTTATTTTTTTCTTATTAAAACTATTATTTCATAACATTAATGTTTTTTTGTTTTTATTTTCTAGTTCTTAAATAATTTATTTCATATGGAGAATTTCATTTTAATAATTTTAAGAAATATCAGTGTTTACGATTAATTCATCTTTATATTTGTTATGAATCTATAAATTTATATTATATAATAATTTACTTAAATATCAATTAATAATATTGAAATACACAAATTGTTTTTCAAGTTAGTTTTTCAATATTTGGATGTCTTTTTGTAAATGTTATATGGTATTTTATTACTAAATTTATTTTTATTTTAAATTGTTTTCTAAGTCTTTTAATTAGATTTCATCTTAGTTTAATTTTTGGATTATTTTTTATAATGTATTTTCTTTATTTATGTTTATTTCTTTCATTTATTCAAGTTTCTATTATATATCTTTTTCTTATTATATTAGTTTTTCCGAACTTATTTATTTTTAGATTATCTTTTTTTCTAAAAGCTTATTACTTCTATCTCTTTTTGGAGAATAAACTTTTTAAAAAAATTAATTTAAATTTTTATTAGTCTTTATAATATCTTTTAAACTTGGTTGAGGTATTGTATTTATATTTTTTTATTAGCTTTGTATTATTTCACTCAAGTCTTCAGATTATTTTTAATGATTTTCTATAGTTTAAATTCCAAAAGATGTGTTTAAATTGACATAAGTATTTATTATATTATTATTATTTTTGCTATAAATGTTTTTTATATTAGATTTATTATTATAAGTATTGCTTTATACATTAAACGAGTTATTTATAATATTGTTTTTTTTTGGTTTTTAACATAATGGAATTTTTTTTGGAAATTTACTAAAGATTTAGTTTAGTTTATTAATCTTTTTTTAAGATGATTGAGTTACTTTTTGTTATGGGGAATATGTAGATGATAATTAGGTTGGAAGTTATTATTATTAATAATATTTTTAATTACAATTTTAAATGTTTAACTTTGTATAAGAATTATATTTATTTGTATTCATTTTAATTATTTTATCAATAAAAATTAATTTTTATTTTATTATTTTATGTAATTAATTACTAATAATATACTAATAAGAAATTATTTAAATTATTTTAGAAATTTAATATATATAAATATATATATATTCATTTTTAATAAAGAAATTAAAATTTTTATGTAATTGATACATTAATTTATAAATATTTTATTATTATATTTTTAATTTGTCTATATAAATAATTAATATAAATAAATATGGGTTATCCTAAAGCCATAGTAAAAACATTATAAATAAGAAATGATTTAAACATAATGATAAATAACAAATAGAGAAAAAAAAATGAAATAAAAAGAATTTAAGTATATATATGGAAAAATATATATGATAATAAATAAAATATTTATAAAAATATATATTAAAAAATAAATATATATTTATATAATATATATATATAAATATATCTATTTTTTTATATTTATTTTATATAAATAATAAATCTATAATTATATGTATTTTTATATATAAAAATATTAAGTATAAATTTATCATTCTTATTCATCATCATCATCATTTTAATCATTTTTAATTATTTAAGTTGATACTTTTTAAAAAATTTAAAATAATGTTTATGTGCAATTAACTTATTTTTATAAATCTATTTCTTCTTCTTATAAATTTATAGTATTTTTTAGACAATATCTATATAATTCATTAACTATCATTGAGCTGAAATATTTTTCTATAAACTTTTGTTATTTAATATCTTATTAACTCATTTTTTTTCTTTATGTTAAATTATGAAAATAAATAGTTTAAATATTTTGTTTTATTTTTGTATATTTTTTTAATATATTATTCTTAATTTTTATATTATATATATTTTTTAGTTGTATTTTATTAGTAAAATGTAATTATGTTTTTGTTTAAGAATATTATAAATAATAATATTTAAATTAACAAAAATATAAATAAATGGAAAAAATGCATTTTTTTATTTCAAAAAAATCTTTAAAAAAATTTGTTATTTTTATTTTTTAAGAATATTTTTTTTTATTTTAGTAAAATAATAAAATATATACTTCTAATTTTGTGAATAATTAAATATCTATTTTACTAAAAACAAGACTATAAAAGAATAATAAGGCATATATATATTTTTTACTTTATAACATTTTTATATTATTTTTTTCCCGTGATTTCTTTTTAAAAGCGCATTCGAAAATATAATCAAAAAAGGTTTAATAAAATAGATAATAATCTATTTTTTTATTTTGTTTATAAAATAAAAATATTCAAAAAAATAAAAAAAAAACATATAAAAAGTAATATATAAATAAACACACAAAAAAAATATATTACTATTTAAAGATTTATTTATATATATATATTTTTTTTTTTAAAAAAAAAAAAGGAAATAAAAATAAATATATAAAATTATATTTTTAAACTAAATAAATTATATATATATATATATAAAATAAAAAAAATGAGTTAAGACGAAGACGAAAATATCAATGTTTATAGCGAAGAATCCAATTAATTTGATGATTTTGAAGATGATGATGATAATGATTTTTATAGTGTAAAATAAATAATAATAACGAAAAAAAATTTTTTTAAACAAAAATAATTAATTTAAATATATGTGAAAAGAAACCAGATAAAGAATCTAATAAAAGAGCTACAAAAAAGAAATTATTAACCAATGGTCGTAAAAAAGCTGCCTATAAAAACTTCATCGAAGAAGCAGCCGAAGAAAGTGATTAAGAGGATGAAAATGATGAAGAATATTAATTAAAACGATTAAAAAATTGTAAACAATAAAAATTCATATAAATCTATATATTAACTTAAAAAAAAAATTATATATATATATATATATAAGAAAAAGAAGCTGACTTATATAAATAAAGAAGAAATCCGAATTTCTAATAAGTAGTAGATTAATTAGGGGATAATGAAGAAGAATTAAATAAAAGATATGAAAATATGAACCAATATGATGATGAAAATGATGAAGAATTTGATGAAGATGATTAAAATCTTCCATCTAATTTAAGAAAACATAAATTAAATATAAAACCTTATTAGAAGTTTTTTTCAGTGGGACTAAAAATTGGAAAAGAGAAAGAAACCGTGCTTAATTTATTAAATAAATTTAGTATTTTTTAGAAAAAGGGAGAAACTCCGAAAATACACTCGATTTCGTTTGTTGAATAAAATAAAGGGTTTATTTATATTGAAGCTGAATAAAAAAAGGATGTTTTAACTTTTATTGAAGTATTTTTTTAATTATTAAAATAATTTATATATAGTATTTCTTAATTGAAAAAAAAATAAAAGGGTTTCCCAGGATTAAATACATAAAAAGTGGAACTTGTAGAAGAAAAGACTGTTAGGGAAATATATGAAGAAAAAGAACAGGAAAATTATGAAATTCATATTAATTAATTCGTTCGTATATAGAAAAAATGCGATTATTTTTAAGATTTGGCTTAGGTTGAGTCTATAAGAGATAATGGGAAGGTTTAAGTTAAATTAATCCCAAGGCTTAATTTAGAATAATTAGCTAAGAATAGAAAATTAAAAAATAAAGAATAAAATAATTATAATCCATAGGGAGGCGATGATTTTGTTGTAGGGGATAATAATAATAAATATGGAAATTAGTAAAAAAAGGAGGATTTCCATTCAAAAAAGGAGGAGGACTCTTTGTGCCGGTAAAAAGTATTGCTTAAATTTTAAAAGAAAGACCCAATTAATAATTTTTAAGTACTAATGTCTCAGGATGTGAGGAATTTATGTATGATAAGAGTGTTTCTGATAAAGTTATTATGATTGGTAATAAATATTAAACATATATATTTATTTATATATGTTTGCTTTTTTTATAAAATTTTAGAAAACACATATGGATATGTGTACAAAACATTCAATTGTAAAGATTTAGATTTAAAATATAGCCCAAAATTGGATGAAATAAAGAAATTTTATCCTTTTGGGGATATTTAAGAATATTTAAAAGATAATTATAAAAATCTTAAATTAGCTGATTAATATACTAAGTTTATTCCAGGAGATTAGGTTTTGGTCACTAATGGGTAATAGAAAGGATTGAAAGCTTAAGTTGTGGCTGTGAATGGCGATTTGGTGAAAATTGTGGCTTTAGATAAGAAATATAAGGATTTAGAATTGGATTTATAGGCTAAAGATCTTGTTAAAAATTTTAATGATGGGTAAAGGGTTAAAGTTATCTCAGGAAATCATTAAGGAAAAGTAAATATTTTTAATATTTTAAATATATAAATAAATAAATTTAAGACTGGTGTTATTTTGAAAACGGAAAACTATATATGCTATATTTTTACAGATAATAAAAATACAATAGAATGTAAACCTAAAGATTTGGCAGTTTCAGGCGAAATTAATATTGATTACTCATAATCTAGAGGAAATGATATTAGTAATAATTTGAATTTGAAAAAGCATGATTTAGTAAAGCTAAATGGATAAAATAGTGTAGGGTTAGTACTATCTATTTCTTCAGATTTTATTAAAATATTAGATCAGAACGGAAAAACTAAAAATGTAAGTAATTATGCTATAAATAGTAAACTTGATACTAGAAAAGCAGTTGCTAAAAATTTAGAAGGATGCCCTATTACTAATAATTCAAATGTCATTATTAAATAAGGATAATATTAAGTAAATTATAAAATTACATAAAAATAGAGTTTTTTTAATAAAATAGGGATATTAATGTTAAGTTATTCATGTTTTTAAAAATATTGTTTATTTATTTAATCCAAAATTTAGAGATGGTATTAAAAATAAAATAAAAAAATATATAAAAATATATATATATCTATATATATATATATAAATATATATAATTTTATATATATATATTTATAATTTTTTTAGATATTGTTGTAGAAAATGTAAATAATATTTTATTATAAACAAGCAATCCTGTATTGAATAAATAAGGTGTTAAATTTGCCTATGAATCTTAATATGGAAATAATAAATTCCAAAATAAAAAAAATGATGATTTAAGATAATATGTAGGTAAATAATTAAGAATAATTGACGGAAAATATAAAGGATTTTAATGCACAGTTTTAGAAATTAGAAATGATAAGTAAATTAAGGTAGAAATTAATTCTAAGTTCATATAAGTTTTTATTTAAAAATCTGATATTATTCCATTTATTAAATAAGCGAATGAATTAGAATATGGTAAAACACCAGCTTATTAAACATAAAGTACATATTAACCCAGTATAAGAGGAGAACATAATTTACATGAGTTTCCATGAATAAAAAATAAATAAAAAAAATAATAATAAATAATAATTTTTTTACTATCAATAAATAAATTAAATAACTTTAAATATATATTATATTTGTTATTTTTTATTAAAATAAAAAAATATATAAAATATAAATATATTTTTTATATTATATGAATTAATATAAAATACATTCTTATGTATATTTTTTATAAAATAAATTATATATATTTATATTTAAATAAAATTATTCACATTAATTTATTTTAATCCCATTTTCCATTAATAATATTACCATCTTTACAAAAAAAGCTTCCAGTACCATTGGCATTATCTCTTTAAAATAAACCACAAAACTTCTCCCCGTTACTTAAAAATAAAGTCCCAAATCCTTCCTTATTATCATCTTTAAATTATCCATCGTATTTTATCCAATACTCATCTACATTATCTAAATTCTTGTATTCGAATAATTATTAATCTAAATTTAAAGGGTTCTCATTGTATAGAATACCATATCCTTCGAATTTATCTTCTATCCAATCTCCTTCATATGCAGGATTTCCACTTGCGTAATATAAAGTACCTTTTCCATGCATTTTATTTTCAAACCATTCGCCATTATAATAACCTCCATCTTAATAAGAAAATTTACCTTTACCATGGCGCATTCCATTTAATTTCTAGCCTTCATATTTTTAGTTGTTTTAATATGTTTCGATTATATATTCGATTCCTTTTAATAAATATGTGTAATTGTAAATATTATATATTTTTTTACTTGTATTTAATTATGGTTAAATTATTGTACTTTATTTGTTATTTTATGAACTATTTTTTAAAAAATAAATATTAAAGTTAAAATTATAACTTAATTTTGCTTTTGTTTCATACTTTAAATGATTTAAAGAATTATATAAATTATTTGTTTATAATAATGTATATAAGCTTTCATTGTTTTATTGTTATTAACTGTTTAAACTTCTATATTTTATAAGAATTTATTATACTTAGTCTGATGCTAGAAATGTTTTTATTTGAATAAATATAGCATATATATTTAAATTATTATTTTAAAATACGTTTATAACTTTATAAAGTATTATTATTATTATTATTATTATTTATTATTATTATTATTATTATTATTTATTATAATTTATATCATTTAATCTTTATTTTATTTTTAATATATATTATCTTTATTTTTACATTAAAATTAATTTCTTATAATTCTAAGCTTGATCTTTATAATCTGTAATTACTAATATAATTATTATTATTATTTTAGAATTCTTTTGTTTAATCTTTAATTTAATTTTCTAATATATTATCATCTGGTTATGAGTATTTTTTTTCTATTTCAAAAGGTATTTATACATTTTTATTAGGTACATCTATATTATCTTTTTACATACTTAAAATATTATTTGGACAATAATTTTTTAATTCTTAGATTTTTTTTATGAAATACTAACTTTCTTAATTTATATAAATTTTCATACTATTTAAATCTTTTCTTTTTTCTTCTATAATTTCTACCATTTAAGACAATATATTGAATATAATATTACCATAATATTCTTTTATTTACATCAATTTATTATTTAAAATTTTTTTCGTATTTAAAAGTTTTTATAATCAAATATATCTTCCTATGTTTTTAATAAAGAAGCATTTATTATACATATTCCTAAAGTAAAAATATCACTTTTTGGTATATTATATTTAGGACATAAATCATATTATTTTAAGGCCTTTTTTTAATAAAATATGTTTTTACTGTCATTTATTCAGGTGATATATAGGTTTCTTTAGAAATATTATTTTAACTAGATATAATTGACTAATATAAAGGAATATATCCAATTAATTAAGGGTCAGCTAATTTTATTATTCCGTCTTAGGTTATATGGATTGTTTATAATTTTATATTCTAATGATTAATATTGTTTTATTCAAGAAATAATAAAGCATTTACTGATTATTATATTATATTAAATATTTCTAATTATGTAAATTTTTAATTATTTGATTTAATTCTATTATATATTTCGGATTCTAATGTTTTATTTAAATATTCGTATATTATATAAAATTTATAGAATGTAGAACATATTAAGTTTCTTTTTTATAAAAACAATCTATGGAACATTTATTATTAATAAAAATTAATATTAATATTAGGTTTTTTTATTTTTTTACTTTTTATTTATAATATGGATGTTTTAATTATATCATTTTAAATTAATATTTATTTATTATTTATAAAAAATATGTTTCATCTGTTGTATTTATTTCATATAATATATATTATTTTCGTTTGTTTTATTTTAAATTAATTTTAAGTTCATTTTAAATTGATTCTCGATTTATTTTAATATTGTATTAATTTATAAATTCTTAATATGAATTATTTTTTGATTATTCATTTCCCATATTTTTTAATAAATTATTAAAAAATAATTAATAATAATTAACTTATTTTTTTTTTAAAAAAAAATAAATAAATAAATAAAAGTAAGTATTAAAGTTAATTTATTACTAAATATATTTTAATGGCATAAGTATAAAATTAGACTTTAGTAATTTTTAAGTGTAGTATTATAGTATAAGTTTTATATATATTTTTTCTAATTAAAGTTAAAAAATAACAAAAATAATTCCAATTAACATTCTGCATAAAATATTGATAATTTAAAAAATAAAACATACAACTTAAACATGTACATAAATAAACTACTCTATTTGATATAAGAGTGTATTTATATAAAAATAAATATAGAAAAACTGATAAATAAGAAGATATTTTAAAAATAAAAAGAAATAGGCAATAATTAAACTTAATAATTACAAAAAATAATAAGGAATAAAAAGTAAATAAAAAAATAATTCAAACAAAACCATTATTTGTTTATTTAATAATTTTAAAAAAATATATATAAAGATCGATTTAAAATCATAATAATTGACTTAATTGCAATACGATTCTATAAATAAATAAGATAATTTTCAATATAGAAAAAAGCAAACAAATATTAAATTTATATATATTTATATATATGTTTGGTATATTTAAATATATAAAAATAAAGTGTAATTAGCGTTTGTAGAAGAAAAATAAAAAATGCAATGAAATCTAAATTTATTTAATACTTAGTTGTATTGTTAATATTTTTGTACACTACTTTAATTTTCACGAATATAGCATTAGATGATTTAATTGAGGATAAAGATAAATCAAGTTAAATAACTAAATAATTGCATTATATTGAACTAATAATATTATCTATATTTTTTATAGAAATTATTCTAAATTCATATTCTTCAGGATTAAAAGTATATATGTGTTTAAATAAATTATATAATTTTTTATTAAATAAATTAAAAAATTTAGCACTATTTTTCTAACAAATCGTTATTTTTAGATTTTCTAATTATTATTATTAGTATAATATTAGTTATCATAGATATATCAACTTCTAATAATTCATTTTCCTCTGTGGCAACTATTATAAGAGGAATTTTTAGATTTCTTCGTATTTTTCTTTTAATAAGAAAAGTATTAAAAATATATATAGAAATATATATATATATAAATATATATATATATATATATTTATATATTTTTATATATATAAATAAATATATATATATATATTTTTTATATATTATTTATATTATTAAAATTTTAGTTTTAAACTTTTAAAAAAATAAAAGTTAGTAGCACAATAAATACACCTGCAGAAAGAATTTTAGAAATAATGTCTGAGTTCAAAGAGTATTTTGATTCTATAAATATTATATAGGATATTCAATGGACAATGGATATAATTGCATCAAATAAACTTTTTGATCCATTAATGTTGGATGAAAATAATAATGAATAGGTTATTGAATGGGTAAACTTTGGAAAAGTATAAACTAATAGTTAAGAAAAATAAATATAACTAAGAAACGAAGAAGTGAAATTAAATGTTAATTAATAGGCAAAATATTTAGTTTTAAAAAGATAAATACCTGTAAATGTTCTGAATGAATTTTAAAAAGTATAATTTTATGAATTTTATTATTTTAAATTAATATTTTTTAAAGTAATTAATTATTTAAGATAATTAATAAATAAAAAAATTGATAAATTATTTAATAAGGAATTTTATTTATAATAATAATTAAAAAAAAAATATATATAAAAATAAAATAGTTATAAATATAATAAATAAAAAAAAAATAATTTAAATATATATATATATATATATATATATATATATATATATATTTATATTTGTAAGATTGATGAATTATATTTTGATTGTTTTAAATTAGAATAAATATCTAAAGGAGATGAAACTAGTTACCTTTTAATTTATTTATTTATTAAATATGATTTGATTTAAGAATTATAAGTTGAATTGAGCTCTTTTAAATAATTTGCTTTGTCTATTTAGAATGGATATAATAATAATCCTTATCATTATAAATTGCATGCATTTGATGTTCTTTAAACACTTCATTTTTTTATGAGAAAATGTAATTTTTGCGATTTATCAAAAACTACTAAATTAGAATAAATTGCTATGTATATAGCAGCAGCTGCTCATGATTATGATCACCCGTATTTTTTTATAATATTGATTTTTCATATATTTGTTTTTTTATATGATATTTTTAAATCATTTTTTTTATAAAAAGTGGATATAATAATGTTTTTCTTATTAATACTAATAATATTTTAGCTTTAAGATATAATGGTTAGTAATATATATATATATATATATATATATATATATATATATATATATATATATATATATATATATATATATATATATTTTAATAATATTTTTAATTTTTATTTAGATTTAAGTGTATTAGAAAATTATCATACAAGTTGCTTATTTAGTCTTATTTTAAATAATAAATAGAATATTTTTATTCATTTAAAAAATGACGAATTTAAATAATTTAGAGAACTTGTAATTAGTATGATCCTTGCAACTGATATGTCAAAACATTTTACAGATATATCAAAGTTAAAATCTCGTTTAAGTAGTTAAGGTATTGAATAATTTCGTTGTTTTAAAATAAATAAAATATAGATTTTGAAATTGATAATAAAGATAAAAAAATTTGTATGGAAAATTTATTACATGCATCTGATGTTAGTAATCCTATTAAAGAGTGGAAAACTTGCTTTTAATGGACAAGTAAAGTTATGATGGAATTTTGGAATTAAGTATTACTTTTTTTAAATAAAATACTTAATTTATTTATAGGGAGATTAAGAAAAATTACTTAGATTGCCTGTAAGCTATTTATGTGATAAATATACTACTAATGTATCTAAAAGTTAACATGGGTTTATTGATTTTGTTGTAAAACCATTATATGAAGTAGTTGTTGTATTTTTACCTGAATTGTAGTTTTATTTAATTAATTTAGAAAAAAATAGATAAAAATGGACTGAATTACTTCCTAAATATGATTAAGAATTAAGTATTGTTTAAATATTATATATTTTCTTATATTTAATAATTATTTAGATAAATTAATTGAAGATAATGAAAAAAATAAAGATTGAATATATAATTACTAATAAACAATTTAATATTTTATTATATATATGAAATAAATATGAAAAAATATCTAGTAAAATAAAATTATTAATGTTTAAAAAATATTTATAATAATAAATAAACTTTTAAATAAATTGTATATATTTTTTTTGTTTTAAATAATAAATTTTAATATATATTTTTTTTTATTTAAAATAAAGGATGGAAGCAAAAAAAAAAAAAAAAAAAAAAAAAAATAGGAAAAAAATATATTTTTTTTTTTTTTTTTTTTTTTTATTGAATCATTATTAAATTAAATTAACTTATTAAAAAATATCGATTTAGTTTTAAAAGATTTCCTTATCGTTATTTTTACATTATAAACATTAACATAAGGATGTACATTTGACATTATTTTAATGACAAACACAATATTTTTTTTGGCAATATGAATGCTTACAATGACACCCTTTTATATGAGAATTATTTAAAATAACTGGTTTAAAAGCAAACTTTGTTTTTTTTTTCTTTTTATAGATTATTTTTTATCTTTCTACGTCACATTATTTAGTATTATGACAATTTTAGCATTTGCAATCTTAATTACAGTATTCTCCTATAGAAAAGCAGTCACAGTATCTTTTCAAACATTTACTTTGTTTACAATGGCAAGCTTTTAAAATTTTTTCGTTTGAAAGATTTTCTTTTTAATTTTTTGTGATTTCAGTTTTTTAAAGTTATTCTTAATTTTATTTTTCGGGTATGTATTCGATTTTTTATTAAATATTTTCATATTATTATATTATTTTGGAAAGATTTTAATCATTTTCGTGCATTTATTTTACTTATTAATATAAATAAGAAGGTCTTATAATAGGATTTAATTCTTATATTTATTAGTTTGAGGTTGTATGGAAATTTTAATTATCTTTATATAAATAATTGTTTATTTAAAAATTATATTTATCTTCCTTATTGGAAGATGCGGTTTTTATTTAACTTTTTTCGCATTAAAATTCATATTTTATTTGGTTTGGATTTATTTAATAATAATTAATTTACTATTTGTATTCAGGTTGTGGAGGATAATTTATATATTCTAGTTTTTCATATTAATATGGTTAATATAATTAGTTTTAGTTAATAAATTGTTTATATTATTATATACCTTAATAATAAAATTAATCATAAAAACTTGTATATTATTAAGGTTATTAGTAGTTTGGAAAATGACATAATGGATAATAATTAAATGGCTAGTTTTCTATTTGAGGTCTATTTTTATTATATTTATTTTAGGTATTTTTTTAGGTATTTTTTTTACATATAAAAGTTCATTGGATTACTTTTTTAAATTATCTTGTTTGAAGATAATGTGTAATTTTAAAAATATTATTGATCTTTTTATGGAGAATATAATTCTTCTATTGGATAGTCATATTTAAATTAATAGTCTACATAAGGATGTATGTTATTAATTATATTTCGGTTCATTTTATAGGAGATATGTGAAGTTTTTAATTAAAAGTTTTATTTTTATTTTGATTTTTTTTTTCAAATTTTATATTTGTAATATTTTTAATTTTTGTTTTTTGTTTTTTATTTTTAGTCATTAAAATTATAAAATTGGTATAAAATATTTTTTGCATTATTTTATATTTAGAAATTATAAGATAAAAGTAAATTTTTAATTTATAACTTTTTATTTATGTTTTTTTATTTTTGTTATTTTTTTTAATTATTAATATTAATAGTATAAAATTGATATATATATATATTTTATTAAGTTTGAAAGAAATAATTTTTTTTATATTTTTAATTTTAGATAGAAAAAGATATATATAAATTTAATAAGTTATATATTTTTGTAATTTTATTTTATATATAGATATTTTAAATATAAAATATTTTAATTTTATATTTTAAAATAATTTTATTATTTTTTAATTTTATATTATTAATAATTTTTAAATAATAATTAATATTAAAAAACACATTTTTAAATGTATAATTAATTATAATAAATAAAAATTTTTAATATTATTTTATTTAAAGTACTTAAAATATTCAAATATATAAAATTATATTATTTTAATCACAAATTTTTTTAAGTTCTTATTTTTAATTTAATAAATTACATGAATAAACAATTATTTCTTTTAAAGGAATATTCTAATTTTATTTTTATGTAATTAAATATTAAATAACTTCATTATTAATTTAATTAAAACTTAAATTTATTGTTATTAAAAATTCTAGTAAATTAGTTTTTTAAAATAAATCAAAAAAAGTTTTAGTTTAAATATGAGGCATTTATGGTATATTTAATTCTTTAATTTTTAATTTTTTTAATTATAATAACTAAAAAACTTAATCATTAATATTAATCCAAGATAAATCTAAACTTTCAAGCTATTCAATTAATTAAGAATTAAATAAATCGATAACTCCTAAATGATTAATATATATGCAATCATAAATTTTTAATTTGTATAATTTCAAACAATTACTATTATTAAATTAATATTTATATATAATTATATATAAATTATATATATATATATTTATTTATATTTATATATAAACTATATATAGATTATTTTACTTTTTCACTAACAAAGATAAAGATTAATTATCAAAATGAGAACTTGAGACATCAAAATATTATATATGTTAAATATTTTTAGAATTAGCATATTTTTAAAATCCTTAATGGAAGAAATTAATACTTTCATAGAAACTTAGATATTCGAAATTGTTTTAGTTTTTTTCGGATAAATAAAAGAGGAATTTATCTGTTAGTCGACAACATTTTAAAACTAAAGTTTTGATTTATTTATTTTATTCGAGAAGTTAAATAACTCCTTAGTCTGATATATTATTACAAAAACTTAAGTTTATGTCTTTTATTATAGTTTTTTTAGATGATAAATATATTAGAGTTTAATCATTTATGTTTGTGTTTGATAAATTTAAAATTTCTAAATTTTAAAAAGATGATTCTTATATATATTTGCTTATTTAATTTGCAGATAATTAAGAACAACTTTCTAATGATAATGATTATATTTATTTCATTTCTTTTAAAAAAAGAAATATATTGTCGTTTATCATACATGAGTAAAGTTTTATTTAAGAAAGGCTTTTTAATTATTCTTTTATATTAATTAATATGTTTGGGATGTCTATTAATGTAAAATATTTAAATTAAATAGACTTTATTTCTTTAGGCTTTTAGGTTAAATTTTATAATATTTCTTAGTTCGAAAAATTTGAATCGTAGGCTAATTTTATACTCATTTTTTTTTATTTTTTTTTAGATAATTATTTTAAAATTTGAATTTTATATTTATTTTTTACTTAATATATTTTTGGTATGTTTGTATTTTTTATTAATATATTTTTTATAAAAAGATTTTTTTTACTTAATAATTTATATAAAAAATATAAATATTAATATAAAAAGCTAAATTTATATATTAAGTTTTTTTTTTTTTAAATATTATTATAAAATAATAATAATAATATGAATGAATGAAAAAACGCTAATAACGCACAAATAAAAAATATATCAATTTAAATGAAATCCTTTAGAACCTTCAGTAATTGCCTATATAAGTTTTTATTATAATTATTGTTTAGATTAATAAACAGGTAATTCTAATTTATTAAAGCATGTATGTGCTATAGGTAGGCTATTAACAACACCTTATTTATCAAATATTTCTATTGGATTAGCTTCAAATCCACCAAAGGGTACTTTGAAAGCTCCTAATAAAAAAATGAAATATATATGAATGCATTAAATATTTACCTGTTAAGAAGAAAATAAAAGATTGTTTCATTTCTTCATTAAAATAATCTAAAATTTCCCAAAACCATATAATTTATATAGAATCATTATCATAATTACCTCCATATTTAGTATTTTATTTCATATCCTTAACTTTTTATAATATAAATAAATAAAAAAAAAAATAATATATTAAATAATAATTAATATATAAATATAATATATATATATATATATATTTATAAATATTTATATATATTACTATTAATTTCTTTTTAACCAGCTAATCTTAAACCTAAATCTCTTTCATCAAAAAATAATAGTCCTTCAGGGTGTATAACATCATAAAATCCACTAATAAAAGCTTATGTTTAAGGCTTAATTTCTTAAGTAAGTTTATAATTGACGAAATCTTTCACAAAATCTTTCTTATTTTCTTATGTAACTTCTATATTTCTACCATTTTCAATTAAATCAATTTATCCATTAATTCCAAATTAATTATTTTCAACACAATACATAATATCGCATCCTGTAATATCATTTTCTAATATCCAAAATAGATTTTTACCAATTTAAATATCAAAGTCTTCAAAATCACTTATATATAAAGGTATTTTTAATATATGTTTTAAAAATGATCGTGTTAAATCTATTTCGAAGTCTATTTTATTTGTTAAAGCTAAGCCTACTAATCTACCAATAAAGCGGAAATTTAATAAATTATCAGGAATTATAGTACTTAATGGATTCGGCTATAATGTTATTTTATTAGAACTTAATTAAAAAAAGCCTTTCTTTGGATCAAGTACCTATGTATATATAAGAATACTTATATTTTCTTTATTTAATAATTTTTACATCTTTTAAAGCTAAGTTTACCCATTCTCTTGCCATACCACCTTAGTCTATACCTTATTCACCTTCAAAATTTATAATTAATTATTAATGAACTAAACTTGCAGGATCGTGTTTTGATAATTCGGCTATTGTAGAGGTCCAGATTTCTTCACGATTTACATTTAGAGTTATTTAAGGTTAATAATCTCCATAATATTCAAAACTGTAATCATGTTTTTTTTTCTTTTTTTAGCTTGAATTTCTGATACTATGCTATTATTTTATATATATTTTTATATAAATATATAATTATAAATATTTATTTATATATTTTTATTTATATATATATTTTTAAAAATATAAATTTATATATATTTTTTTAATAAATTTATATATAATATAATAATTATTTATATATATATTTATATATATTTTATTATTTTTTTTTAATTTTTATATTTAAATCAATATATCTTTATTTATATCTTACTTTAAATATGACATTTTAAATTCCATAGATAATTATCTGTTTTCTTTAAGAGTTAATTTACCTACTTTTTTCATGAAGGAAACCCATTTATTTTTTTTTTCACTTGTTTCTATGAAAAGTACTATTAGCCCAACAAATTTTTATTCTATTACCATATATAGGTCATTTAATGTAATTTATTCGCTATTTGAATTTAACACATATGAGAATTATTTCTTTAAAGATAAATTTTCATCTCCTGGTACGATTGTATTGGATATTTGTTCTTATTTAAATTCTTTTGTAAATGTTTTCTATAATTAAGGCTCTGGTATATGGTTTTAATTTATTTAGTCTTCTTCTTTATTTTAATTAAAGAAATCAAAAAGTACTATTATTTATTTAACTCCTAAATTAAATCTATCATATGTAAATTTAGATGATTCTATTTTTTCAGACATTATTTATATGGAATTATATAGTATCTCATATAGAATAATATATAAATCTTTTAATTAGGTCATCCAAGAATCTTAAAGAGACTCTAAAATCTATTTATTAAGCATTTGTTTTTCATTTTCGTACCATTTTTAAGCACTTTCATCACCATCTTCTTGTTTTCGTAATTCCAATTCTTTCTATAACTCCTATATTAAGGTTTTTTTAAACATTTCATCATATAAATTTATCATATTTTTAATAGTTCTTCTTATAGTGGCTATATAAATAAATATTTATATGAATATATGTATATATATATATATATATAAATATATTTATATTTATTTTTTATATTTTATATAATTTATTACATATATATATATTTACATAATTAATAAGTCATATCTGTAAAATTATCTTCTATTAAAGAATGGAAAATAAACCTTTTTTATTATGAAATTTCATCGTTAGAGTTTAAATTTTATAATTAATGAACTATAAAGATGTATTTTTTGTAACTTTTTACGAAGTTATTACAGTGTTCAAGTTTTTCTTGGAGTATTTGGCGGTTTATCTATAAAATTCTAGTAGAAATTTTCTCGAAAACTTCTTAATTTTGGCAAATTCTGTCTTTTAGTTATTAGTAGATGTTTTCGTTTATTTTTTTTAGACTGTTCTTTTTACTTGGCTTGTTTTTGAAGTTATAGAAGTAAAAAATGTCTAAAAATTGGTCCGGTATGCTAATTTAGAATTTCATTTCGGGAAAAGTCTCATATGAAATAGTCGGTAAATGGTATGTGGGTTAATCTTCAGTTGCTTAATGTGAAAACAGAGAGAGATACTTCGATAATAGAGCCACTGTAGCCTCATAAGATTGATTAGAGTTGCTATTTTGAGTATTTTAGGATAATATGAACTTTAAATTGTTTTCGAGTATGTTTAAAAGGGAAAACGAACTGTTATTATGTACAAATAATGAAGATAAAGGGTCTTTTTCTTTTATATTTATAAGTATAGGGAAGGTCTTATTTTAAATGTTTTTGTTTTATAATATAGAAATATTATAAGTGAATATTTCCTAGTTATTTTAATTTTGTATGAAAAAATAAAGCCATGAAAAAGGCTCAAAAGTAAAGAAATAAGAAGTTATTTATAATAAATTGTGCATTTATAGATTTTTGCTTATTTTAGGAGATTTTTCATATATATTAGAATAACTTAAATATGATAGTTGTGTATTTTCTTCTTCTTCTTCAATTGTTTTTTTTGTTAAAGATTTAATTATTTATATTAGTTTATATAAATTATATGGATTAAAACTTAATATATTTAATATTTCCTAATATTAATTTTAATAGTCAAAGAAATCATCTGTAGATCTATATATTAAGAGTTTTACTATATTATATAAAAAAGATGAATTTATGTTTATTATTTTTAAAAAAGTAGATTTTTCTTTAAATTTCTATTCGTTTTTTTCATCATGAAGAAGATCTTGGGCTAAACGTTTTTTTAAAAATTTCTATTCTTCGGTTAAATTTTAGTCTTCTTATGTTTAGTTTTCTTATTCATTTTGTATTAGCTTTTATTTATTTTATTCTTCTTGTTTATTTTTCTATTTTTAGGCTTCTTAGTGATCTTTTTGGATTTATTCGTATATAGCTAGTTGTTATTGTTCGTCTATATCTTCCCCATATTCAAAATATTATTGTTCTTCTTCAAGTTCGTTTTAGTCTAATATTTCTTATTGTATTTTTAATTGTTCTTGCTCTGATTTTAATTATTGTTCATGATTTTTTTCTGGTTTTTCAGGTTGGATTTTTTCTTCTTTTTGGCTTTATTGATATTCTGGTTCTTTTTATTATTAATTTACTATATTTTTTTATTCGTTATCTTAATTTTCTTGTTTTTTTATTTATTCTTAATTTTCTTGTTTTTGTATTAATTCTTTATTATTATCATTTTCATTATTTTATTAGTCTTGCTTTTTTTAGTTTTCGTCTTCTTTTTTATTTTAGTCTTCCTTTTATTTTTCGTCTTCTTTTTTATTTTCGTCTTCTTTTTTATTTTCGTCTTCTTTTTTATTTTCGTCTATTTTTTATTTTTCGTCTTCTTTTTATTTTTCGTCTTCTTTTTTATTTTGGTCTTCTTTTTATTTTTCGTCTTCTTTTTTATTTTGGTCTTCTTTTAAATTTTCTTTTTTATTTTCTTCATAAACATCATCTTCTTCTTCATCTTCATCGTATTCATCTTATACATGCTCGTCTTCGTCATAATTATCATTTTCTTCATCATAGTTTTCATCCCTATAATCATCTTCGCGTTAAATTTATTATTTTTTACTTTTCTTTTTTTACAGAGGTTTATTTTTATTCTCTTCCTTTTCCAATTCTTCTTCACTTTCTTATAATTTAAGTTATTCGCCTTTATTCATTATTTATTTTCTTAATTTTAAAGCTTCGTCTTTCCATTCTTTTGGCAATTCCTTTAAATAAGCTTATTCAAAAGTCAACAAAATAGCCATTTTTTCATGTTCATTACAAATTTACATTAATTTCTAAAATTCTTCGCCAAATTGTTCTTTTAAATCAAGTTTATTTGAAAAAACTTATCCAGTTAATTTACATACTAACTAATATACAAAATATAAATATATGTATATATATAAAAAAATAAATATATATAAAGATACAGATGTAAATATATATATATATAAATAAAAATAAATATATATATATATATATATATATATATATATATATATATATATATATATAATTTATATATTATTCTTACTTTTTAAAGACAATATTTTTCCCTTATTATTGTTGTTTTTAATTTTTTGAGTAAATTTTCTTTATGTAAAGCTTATTTTCCTTCGTTTAGAATTCTTAATTTTTCATTATGACTACTTTCGTAGAATAAGTCTTCGTTAATTTTATATAATTCCATTGAATCAAATGGAAAATTATAGTCTTCAAAATAAAAATTTTTTCTTGCTGGTTTTTATGTGTTTTAAGTATTTTTTTCTTCTTTTTTATTTTTTTCTTCCTCTTTTTCTTTTAATATTTTTTCGTATTCATCTATTAGTTATCTAATTTTTTCTTTTTCATTGTTTTCTTATTCTTCTAAGTTTTCTAAATCCGGATGTATAATATTAGATTTTTATTCTTCTTTTTCTTTGTTTTCATGTTCTTCTTTTTTCTCATTCTCTTCTTTATTTTCATTTTCAATGTTTTTCTCATTCTCATCTTTTTATTGATTTTCATCTTTTTTTTCATTCTCTTCCTTTTTTTCATTTTCTTCTTTTTTCTCATTTTCTTATTTTTCTTGTTATTAGGGTTCATCTAGTATTTATCTTTAAGTTTTTTATTATACATTATTATTAGCTAATGAATTTTCATCAATATTTTTTTCTATTTGTTCTATATGTTCTATGCTTGTTTATGATTTAATTTTTTTTTTTTTTTAAGATTTTTCATTTTTGTCATTTTCTTCTAATTTATTTTTTTCTAAATTTTCTTTCTCAAAAATATCTTTTTCACTTTTTAAATCTTCCTTTTTTTCTTCTTCTTCTTTTTCAAAATTATCTTAATTTTAAATGATTTTTTCTTAACATTATTATTATTCTTCTTCCGTTTTTTCTGTTTTATTTTCTTTTTTTATTTTATTTTCTTCTTCTTTTTTTATATCTTATTCTTCTTCCTCTTCTTCATCTTCTTCTTCTTCTTCCTCTTCCTCTTCCTCTTCCTCTTCTTCTTCTTCTTCCTCTTCCTCTTCTTCCTCTTCTTCCTCTTCTTCAACTTAATTGTATAATAAAAAAAGGTCTTTTAAAATTTCTTCTGACATTTCTGAGATGTCTTATACTTAATATTCTTAATATTTAGATTATTATAGAATTAAAATATTAATAAACTATTAATAAGGTTAAATACAATCAAAATTATAATAATTAGTTTAAATAAATTTAATATTTTAATAGATATCATTCAATTATGCTGCTTATTATTCATAATTTATATAAAATTTAAGAATTTCTTTTTCAAATTAATTTATTTCTTATAAAGGAAAATCTAATTATTTATTCTTTTATAAATTCTAAAAATACAAATAATGTAAATATTTATACATATAATCTTGAATTTTCATATCATCTTTTTTTAATTTTCTTCTTTTTTTTCTTCATTTAAATTTTCTTCTTTTTTTTCTTCTTAAATATTTTCATCTTTTTTTCTTTTTAAAGATTTTCATCTTTTACATTTTCATCTTTTTTTTCAACTTTTTTTTCAACTTTTTTTTCTTCTTTTTTTTCTTCTTTTTTTTCTTCTTTTTTTCTTCTTTTTTTTCTTCTTTTTTTTCATTCTTTTTTTTCATTCTTTTTTTCATCTTTTTTTTTTCCTTTTTTTTCTTCTTTTTTTTTTCCTTTTTTTTCTTTTTTTTTTTCATCTTTTTTTTCATCTTTTTTTTCTTCTTTTTTTTCTTCTTTTTCTTCTTCTTTTTTTTCATCTTTTTTTTCAGCTTTTACAATTTCTTCTTTTTTTTCATCTTTTTTTTCTTCATTTAAATTTTCTTCTTTTACATTTTCAACTTTGTTTACTTCTTTTAAATTTTCATAAAAAACTTCATCTAAAATAAAATTGTTAAAGTCATTATTTTCTTCGAAATTTTTTTTTTTAAGTATTTCTGTTTGTTCTAAAGAATACTTATAACTTTATTTATTTTCAAAGAATTCTTATAAATGTTCCAAAAAGAAAAATTTCGCATATTATTAATCACCTATTTCATTTTAAGTCACGATTTTTAAAGAATTTCTAAATTCTGTAAAAACACCAACTTTTTCTATAGCACTTAATTAAACTAAATCTAATTTATCACAACCCAGAATTTCCAAAAAAACAAATATAAATTTTTAATGGTCTTTAAATTCGAAAAATTTAAAAAGAAATTTCAAAATCGAAAAAGCTCCTTAAAAAAGAAGCATTTCTCGTACATTTTTTATGTTTAATTTTTATAAAAAAGCAAGTGTTTATGAAATAAAGTTCTATATTAATATCTAGGCACTTCCTATATATATATTTGGACTATTTTCTTTGAAAAAATAATTATTTTGTGTAAAAATATATACTAATTAGCCTATATTGTAGTTAAAAAATACTATATTTTCCAAAATAAAGTAAAAAAAATCTTTTTTTAAAAAAAAAATAAAAGGAATAAAAAGAGGGAATTTTCTTAAAAAATCAGTCAAAAAAATTAGATAAAAATCACTTTTTTCATTTATAATTTTATCTAATATAAATTCTAAGATTTTTTGGTTTTTTTCTAAAAAATAATCTCTTCTTAATTAAATATTACATTTTTAGAAATTTTCTTTATTTAATTTTATTTTTTCCTTCTTTTTAGAAAATTTAAATAACTTTAAAAGAATTTCTGCGTAAAAATTTTAATACTCAAAGAGATCTATATTGTTTATTTATTACTAAAAATCTTCCAAATAAAATTCGGTGTCAAATTTGAATGTATTTTAATCAAAAAAGGCATTTTTTAATCTAATTTCGATGTTTCCTTTTATAAAATCGTCATCTAGTGTAAAACTGTTCCTCAATATTAAACATAAAGCTTGTCCTACGGTTCTTTTTGAAGCTATATCTAATATTTATAATGTTGTTTCGACAATTTCGATATATTTTTCGGGAGAAAGTTAACTCTAGATGTCTTTTTTAGTTTCAATAATTTAAGAAAGGTTACAAATAAATTTTTCTGTGTGTTTTTAAATATCTATAATTTAAAAAATGTTTTAATCTTTAAAGTGTTTAAGTAAATATAGGGAATCTAATAGTTAAGAAATATCCAAATTTTTGAATTTTAAGAAATATTTAAGATTATCTTTTTCTGGATTTTCTTTAATAAAAGTAAAGGCTTCTTAAAAATTTATAAAATATGATTCCTATTCATTATATAATTATACAAATTCAAGTATTTTTTCCATAAAGTTAAGATTTTATATATTTAGGTTTATTTTATATTTATTAATAAGTGTATTATCTATTTATAATTTATTTAAAAATGTAATAACACTTTAATAAAAAGGAGTTTCCTTTACATTTTAAATTGTATACTTGAATTTTTTCTATACTATATTTTCAATAGAAGGAAGTAGGTTTTAAATTAAAAAATATCTTATTTTATCTTCATTTGTTTCTTCGTTTATTACATATTTTATAAATTGGTTTACATAATCTTATTCGATTTCGTTATTTATTACGTATTCTATTAGTTATAATGACAAAATTCTTAAATATTCTATTATTTTTCTAGATTTTTAGCATTTTAATATATTTAGATCTAAGTTTTTATGTTAGTTTTGATCTTCTATTTGATCTTTTAAAGGTAGAATTGTTTCTAGTTTTTAGGAAAATTATTCGTTTTCTTTTTTTATTTCTTTTAATAGTTAATATATAATTTCTAAAAAATTTATTATTTGATTTTTTGTTAAATTTTCATATTTTAAAATGTTGATTTACTCTTTATTATTTGATAAAGCGTTATATATAATGACATTTTTTAGAAATAATTTATTATTTATAAAAGAAGCTTTTATATCCTTTATTTTTTCTAAAATAGAAAAAGCTTAATTTTAGTTTCTTGCGAATTTAATTAAAGAAAAATAATTTATATTTTAATTTTTAGTTAAGTTTTCGAAAATTAAATAATTATCTATTAAATGAAAATACTTATATTCAAGATTTATAAATGAAATACTTTTCAATATATATTTATTTGATGAAATAAGGGCTTGTTACTATATATTTTATAGAAATTCAGGTTTAAGTATTTATATTAAAGGGATAAAATATTTAATTAATTAAAAATAAAATTAATTATTTCCTTTTTCTTCAATTAAAAGCTCAAATAACGCTTCAAGAATATTTTCGTGTAAAATGCTTTTTTCTTAATTTTCTTTAAGAGCAATTTAAAGGTAATTTTTTTCTTTAGAGATGTAAAAAGAAGAAATTCTACTTAAAAATTCCTTAAGTATTTATTTATTTAATTTAGTCTTATTTTTTACATATTTAACAAATATTTCGTTTATATTTAAAAATATTATGTCTTTTTTAAATTAAATTGCATTATTTTTTATGTTTTTTTCATCGAATTTAGTGTTTTTTTCATCTATTTTAGTGTTTTTTTCATCTATTTTAGTGCTTTTTTCATCGATTTTAGTGTTTTTTTCATCGATTTTAGTGTTTTATTCGTCTAAAATTGAAATTTAATCTAAAAATTAAAAAAGAATATCAAAAAAAGAATTAGCTCTAAATTCTAGAAGTGTATTATTATCAAGTTTAGTTTTATTTTTTTAATTTACACATAAAATTATTTAAGTAATCAATTTTGCCAATCTTTATTTCATTTAATTATTTTAAACGTGAATTTCATGAAGTACATCTATACATTTAAAATTGAAAGAATTAAATATTTAATTTTTCTAAAAAGTACAAAATTCAATCATTTAAATGATTTTTTCAATTGTATCTTCATTATAAGACTATGCAAAATTAAATACGAAATCACTAAAAATTTAAACGCCAATAAAATAGAGCTCTTTTTTTTCAAAAATCTTATCTAGAATTAATTAAATTTTTTTTTATTTTTCTTTTTTATTCCCTTCTTTACAAAATAAATACCAGCCGATATTTTTTCCATAAATCCCATGTTAAAATATGCATTTTTCGCAAATATTCTCAAACACTTTTTAATATGGACAATTAGTTTAGTTAATTTCACTTATTTAGTCTATAATTAATTCCATTTAGGTTTTGTTCTCGCTTTTCTTTTCAAGAATACTGCACATTTTTTTCTATAAAATCATGCCTATTTCCATATCTTATTCGATTTTTTTAGATGAAATGTATATTTCTTTATTCAAACCGTGTTCTATTAAATCAATAATCCTCACTAAAAAACTAGCTTATATATCTTCGTCTTCCAAAACACTCAAATAGTCCTAAATTAAGCTAAAATAACCTCCAAAATCATTCAGATTTTAAGGAAAATACTTCTCATCGGGCCAATGTAATTAATTATAGCTTAGGCATTCTTCAATTTCTGGGTCATTTTGTTTCTCGTTTTTCACTTTTTTTAAATAAGAGAAATATTCTTGAGGAATATTAACTTAAATATGTGGTTCATCTTACAAATAAAAAGCGAATTTTTTATGATTGGGGACATTATCTCGGAATCTCCAAACACAAACAGCCCTTAATTAATCCCAATTTTATTTTTGTTCTATTTTTTAATAATAAAGGACCAAAAGTAATATTTTTAGAAAAAATTAATTCGGTTTATCAACCCATTTACCTTTTTTTTCGAAAATGTAATCCCTGACTATTTAATAAGGAGTCAATTTGATATTTTGCTTTATTTATTCAGTTATTTAGGCTATTTTTATCACATATTTGTTTTATTCATTATCTATAGATATTATAAGTTCGCTTTTGGGATTTTTTTCACTTTATAAAAAAAAATGGTAGTATCTTGTATATATATCATATGATTCTTAGTCATTATTGAAAGCTATTTCTAAGGCATTATCGCTATTTATGTCTTTTTGGAATAAATTTGATACTTTAAATATTCTGTATAGTAATTATAAGTTATTTATAAATGGAAAATATTTAAAAATCTTGACAAAATTATCCCAAAAGGAACTTTTTTCACGCTTTCCTTTATAATATTTTTATATTTAGTATTTTCTTATTTTTTCTATTTTGATTAGTCTTTGGATTTAGTTATCTTATATTTCGTTTATGTTTTGAGAGTTAAGAGATTTTTCTTGGATTTCTTTTAGGCTTTGAAAGTCTTTTTCTATTTATTGGTATATTTATGAAAGATTTATTGTTTAATTTATATATTCGGTGTATTCTTGGTATTCGTTCTTTTTTTAATTTTTTATTTTTTTTATTTTTTTTTTATTTATAAATTTATGGGAAATACATTTTTTTTTTACCTAATTGTAAAACCAAAAACTTCTTGAAAAAAATGCCGAGTGTGATAATTATAAATCCATGTTTTTTTTTTTTATTTTGTAATTTTTTTTTTTTAAAGAAAATAAAAATAATTATTAGTAAATATCTTTTTTATATTTTTTTCTTATTATTTTAATTATATATATTAAATAATATTATTTTATTTAATAATTATTTATATTGTCTAATTTTAACATAAGATTTTATTTTTCCTTTTTATAATAAAATATTAATTTAAAAATTAAAAATATACCACATAAACAAAATATAATATACTTATGTTTAAAACATAATAATTTCACAAATTCTAAATTTTTCCATCATAGATTTATAGTTTTTTTATTTTTCTTTATAAATTTAAAATGTTTTATTTTTTTAATATTATGTTTTCATTTTCCTATACTAATTTTAAATTAGTATTTAATAATTTTTATTTATAATCATTATGAATTAAAAATATGGTTTTAAAATCTTAATAATTAATATCACCTATAATATATATATATATATATATATATATATATATATATATTTATGCATATATAATTTTAATTGAAATTTATATAAAATTTTATAATATATTACATTCATCTTTTCTTTAATAAAAACAAATTTAGCAATAATCTCTTTAACATTTATTACAATATGTGTGATCACATAAAAAATGTTTATATTATCTTATAATTTCGCTTTAACAATTTGAACAGAAATTATTTAATCTAAATCCTTTTTACTTTATTAATAAATAATTTTATATATAATATATATATTAATTATTTTAATATATATTTTTATTTTTACATTAAGATTTGAATTTTCTATTTCATTATGTAAATATTCATTCATTATTATATGTTTAGAATAAAACATAATGTTTTTTTCAAAAATGTAAGCTTTTAAAAAATCAATCTAAGTATTTTTTCTGGCATTTTATTATGCAATGGAAGTATTTTTATTATCATTTTCTTATAAAAAATTAAGTAAAATTTTATTTTCTAATACAAATTTTAATTAAACATTTTATACTATTAAACTAAAGCATTCTTTTTCAAAAAGTGCTTGTAATTATTCTAATTATTAATTTTCATTAAAAGGATATTCTAAATTTTATATACCTTTAACCCAATTAAACCAATCATTCTATAAATATATATTAATATATATATATATAAATATATATATTTATATTTTTTTTATATATATATTTTTTATATATTTACATATATTATCTTTTTTTATTTTTTTTATTTAATTTTTATATTATTTATATAATTGTATATATAATAACTTCTGATTCTTCATCTCCTCTTTTGTTTTTTTATAAAAGTAGTTTTATTCCATTTTAATAGGCTTATTTAGCTTTTTCTATTTCATTTTAATTAATATAGACTTATATTTATTTTAAATAAATATCTAAAGCTTCTACCACATTACCCATTAGTCCATATATATATGCACATCCAATATCGCATTTATATTTTATCATTAATTTAAGAACCAGATCAATTGAATATTATAGGTTATCCTCTGAATTTTAAAGTTCTTCAATTATTTATTATTAATTAAACTAGAGTAAAAGTTCAATATATAGAATTGAAAAGTCTTCAGGAATTTTTTTTAGTTAGTCTTTTTAATCTTGTATATATACAGAAACTATTTTATATAAAATTTTGGGAGTTTCTTTTAATAAAATTATAACTTGTTCTATAGGGAAGATATTTTCTTGTGCATTTATTAACTCTATGAACTTATTTTCGTCTATTTCTATAAGATTAGAGCTATATTTTTATATGATAACTTTTATATCTTCAATATTACTTAATAATAAGTCTTTTATGAATTGAAAAACCTTGAGTTTTATTTCAAAGGCGGTTGCATTTAAATACATATTAATTGCTAAGTCATATTTTTTTTACATTTTATAAATTTATGCACAGAATTCGATAAAAGGCGAATTACAAGCCTTAGTGAGTAATTTTTCGATTTGATCTTTATGCGAAATGAAAAATGGTTACAAAAGCTTTTATATTTATTAACATTTCATTTCTATTTCTTAAAAATCATATTTATTCTTATATAAATTTTTGTTTGGATTATTTATTATAAAGTTAACGGCCTCATATGATGTTTCGAAGTCTATTTATACGTCAAAATCTTTAATAAAAGCAGTAAAAAGATAAAAATAATCTTAACATTTTTAATTTTTTTGCCTTATTTTATTTGTTTTATTATCTATAAGTAAGTATATAATGGTTTTTATAGTTTTATTTTCTATTTATTTTGGATTTTTTTCCTATATTATTTCTAAATATTGAATACGGAAGTTTAAAATTTCGAGAACTTGGGCTTATTAGTCTAATAAAAATAAACTTGGCTAACCTTTAAAAAAAAATACTAACATTTAAAAAGTTAAGCTTTAATCTATTTCTAGTAGTAATTCTAAATTATTTTAATCGAAGATTAAATCTAAAATTTATTTAGTTGCCTTTTATTTATTTTGTAAATAAATATTATATATATATGTTTTTTATATACTTTTTCCCATTATTCGAATTCCATTTAATTTCCAGGAAAAACTGAACCACCTAAAGTCATTCTTATATACCAGAAAATTTTATAGGGCAGATTATCATTTGATTTAAAGTTTTTTTTTTTATATAAATCTAACATATGTTATAAAGGAACTAAAAAATCTTTTTACTAACTTGTATAAATATATATAATAGGTGTTATAAGTTATTAATTAAGACAATGCTTTTCTATAAAGTCTATATTTTTATTATTTTCATTTTATTATAAATCAATTATAAATTTAGTAATTATTCCCAGTTGTTTACTTTCTTAATAATATTCAATAATATCTTTAAAGGCTTTTTCATTATTAATTTAAGTAATTAGACCTTTACATATAAAAGGATATAAGAGTTTCAAAAACTCTTCGTATAGTTAATAATTTTGATAGACAATATTCCTAAATTTGTTAAATAATAAATTGAAATTCTCTGTATATATTAAATATTTAATAAGTTGTCCTAATTCATGATTATTAAGAAATTTTTACTAAATATTTTTTTCATTATCATCTTAAGTGACTTTTAACTAATTCTATATATAAGTGACTATATACTTACCTAGAAAATCCCTTAATTCATTTTTAAAAGTCTAGACTTCTCCAAAACACATATTTTCTCCTATATAGACATCATAACTTAACTAAAACGCTTCAAAAGGATTTTTATCGAAAATTAATTTTATTTAATAATCCCAGTCTAAAGTAGCTCCTTATAGTATAAAATTATCATCAGTTAGTAAATATATATTTTTTTCTAAAGCACACATTGTCTAGTAATAATTATTGACTTTTATTTTATCTTATATAGTCAGAATTTGCGATTTTAGATTACCAAAAACACCAGAAATTAACTTTTGTGAAAAAATAGTTGCTGGGATAGTAAATGTGGGAATTTTAGAGTATTTTTTATTGTGGAATTTTTATACATTTAATAAATATTAATTATAATTTACATCCACTACAAATAATATCTGTTTATCGATAAAAGCAATAAAATTAATGTTTTTTTCACAGTCATAAAATCTTCTTGAAAATTTGTAGTTTAAATTATTATTAGAAGTCTCTAAATATAAAATAAACTTAAAACAAATAATCTAATTACCACATGCGATACAAATTTTATTATCTTAAGTATCTACACATGGAATAAATGTATTATTCGAACCTTCAAAGTGTTATTATTTGTCTATTTTGGCTAATGTGTGTTAATATTTTAAAGGCTCAATTAGTTTTATCTCCACATAATCTAAAAAAATATTAATCTAGAGTAGAATTTTAAAGTCGTGACTTTAAAAACTATGGAATTTTATAAAAAAAGGATTCTGAGTATCACTCCATAGTAATTAGTGTTTAATCCTTCCAAGCATCCCTTTTTGTATTTATATTTTATTAAATTTATTGAAAGAAGACGTGAAAAATATAATATCGTTAAATTATGAAGGATAAAACTTCACAGATATGATTTATTAATAATCATCGTTAAATTCTTTTATTATTTCTTGTTTTTGGAAATTAAATAATACTATATCTCCTGATTTATAACCGGATAATATGTAATTTTTATAAACGTCAATTGATGTGACGGGACCAGTATTATTTTTGGAAGATTTCAAAACACAGTTTTAAATTTTGTTTATTATTTATATTAATTCGCCTTTATTAGTTCCTAATATCATCTTTTGTTCATTTTATATCTTTTTTATTTATTTATTTATTTTTGTGTGTTTGTTTTTTTTGTTTTTTTTACGTATATTATAGATATTTTATCATCTTTTTTTATTATTTAATCAACCCATTATAAATTTACAAATATTATTCCTTTTTAATATACTAATTAAGGATATTAATTCTAAAATATTTAATGGTATTTCTCGTCGATTTTTTAGAGGGTTTCTTGTGATATTTTTATTTGGTTTTGTTCGAATTAGTCTATTTAATCTAAAATATCGGATGTGTTTATATTATTATTTGAGTATTTAGTTTATTCGTTTTTGTCTTTTTTTATTTTGTTGGGTCGGTTAAATCTAAACTTATAGTATTATCTATTAAAGCGTTTTAAATTACACATGATTAATGGATTTCTTCAAATTCTTCACTGTTTAAATCTTCTAAAAATTCTTATTCATTCATAGGATATTGAAATTATTGATAATTGTAAATATTAGTCAATTTTTTTTATTTTGTATATAAAGGTTAATTAATTTATATTACAATCCTTTTTTTAATAAAAAAAAATACTAAAGATATATAAAATTTAAATAAAAGAAATGTAAAAAATTAAATTATTTTAATTTAATAATTAAGAAAGCAATAAAACATTATTTTTATTTTTTTAAATAAATATATATTAATAGATATGTCTAAAATAATTTAAGTTATTTTAGAGAAAAATAATTTATTATTTACAATTAAAATTGATTTTTAAATAAAAAATAAAATTTTAATAATAAATCAAAACAATTAAAAATTAATTTACTATAAAAATATATAACATTTAATAAAAAATATGAGTAAAGTATACATTTAGAAATAGAAATAGGAGAAAATATAAATAATTTATACAAAAAATTTTATTATAATTAAATATCATACATTATTTTATTATTAAATATTATAATATAAGAGCATTTTACTCTTAAAAAAATTAGTAACTTTTTTCAAAGCTTCTTAGAATTATTAATTTTTTAGTATAACAAGTAGGAATTTTATTTCTTAAAAAAACTTAGCACTTTTAAACCTTGTTATATTACATTTATTACCATTCATAAGTATAGTAAATTTAAATTAATAATTTTAAGGATAAAGCAAACTAATAAGGATAAGTTTTTTTCTAGGATTTAGTATTGTATATAATTAATAACATTTTTACATTTCATTTTTAGAAGAAGTTAATTGATTATTATTACTTTATTATAATTAATTATTATGTAGTTTCATGTATATTTATTTAACTCTAATATTTTCTTCAATAGAAAGTTTTTAGGAAACACTTTCTGTTACAGTATTCGAAATTTTGTTTTTTACTAAATTCAAAAAGTTTGATGTTTTTATTTTATGCACAACAAAATTACACAAGTTTTTAATATCCGAATAGCTTATTTTCGAATTTATATAATTAGTTTAATATTTATAGAAACCTTCAGCTATATATATATTTAAAATTTCTCTAAGGTTCATTACATCAGTTTATATAAAATTATCGTTTATATTAAAATTTTATATATACATGTTAAAATAACTTGTCATAGGATAACTTATATAATCAATAGTTGAAAAAAAAAAATCTTTGATTATTTTTTCTCTGCTTCTTTTTGTTTTTTAGAATATATTATTATTAAGTATTTATTTTTTGAATTCTAATTTATAAAATTATAAATTATATAATGTATTATATATATATATATATATATATATATATATATATATATATATATATATACTTTTTAAATTTTAATTTGATATTATATTATTTAAATCTATACATATTTCAGTATTAAATTAATATTAATTGTTATTATATATTTATATAAAATCATTAAATAAAACTTCATGTAAAGCTAATTTAGAATTTTCAAAGCAAAAAAGCATTGAATCATTTATATGATCGGATTCAATTCTACTTTAATTAATTAGATTTTCCCATAAATTTATTTCTATAAACTTATATATATTTGTTATTTTATAATTAGAATCTTTTTTTGTTTTAAAAAACATATCCATTTAATCAGTTAGGGAAAAAAACATTTATGTAATTCTTATTTTTAAATTTTCTCCAAGTCTCTTTTAATCTAAATATTACTAAATATGGATTACAACTAAAATTTTTATTAAATTTTTTTTAATATAATAATGCAAAGTTTTATATTTTTTATTATCTTAAGTTTTTTCTTTATATTATTCATTATTTTATTAAATTTATGCTTAAATTAAATTTTAGCCATATTAATTTTTTCCAACAAAATAAGAGACTCTTTTTTAATTACAAATATTAAATCTATGATTATAATTATTATTATTATTATTATTATTATTATTATTATTATTATTATTATTATTTTATATTTTTTAATTTTTTTATTTGTTATCTTTAATTTCTTTTTATTTAAAATAATATTATATGATATAAATAAAAAAATATACATTATCCATAATTTATTTATTATTAAAATATTGATTATCTTTAAGTAAAAGATTAATGTTTTTTAATTTATCTTCTGTTAGCTTTTGTAGTTTCTATGTTTAATTATTAATTAAATATTTAAGGCGTGTTATCTATTTCTTATTCTATATTATTATTATTTACAGGATTAATATTTATACCAGGTACAAATACTTTTCTTAATTCATTGAATTTAGCCGAAAAATCTTTAAATTCAAATATCATTTGTAACTTTTTTTCATTATCTTTTTATTATTAATTATTTTTTAAATTAATTCTATTAATATATTAGGAATAATTTTTAAAAGGAGTCATCTTAGGATTGTCGTAAAAAAAAATTATTTTTGAGGATATTTAAGTTTTGAGGAAATCTAAACTACAGTCCATCATGTCCGAATTATTAAAATAGGTTATTAGAGTTCTACATGTTTTAGGAATATATAAGTTAAATATCCAATATAGAAGTAATATATCTTTAGAAACTGTAACTATAGTATATTATCCTCTAACTATTCTTACACATTAATAAATAATTCTTGTTTATTATATGTAATCTTCAAGAAAATATTTATTATATTATTGTTCTTTTTATTAATTATAATTAAGTTTTATAAACCTATTTCTTTTATATTTTAAAGATAATAAATTATAATCTTTAAAAGAAATATTATTTTCAATTTATTATCTATAACTATTTTAATTTAAAAATAAAGGTATCTTTTTAAATAAAAATTATAAAATATATATTTAAAATATATAATAATATATATATATAATTTCTTAATTTAATACTCTTCCTATAGTTGTTTTTATTAAATAAAAAGATTAAAAAATATTTTTAATAATTTATTATAAGTCATTTTTCGTAACTTTTTCTAATAGCCTTTACCTTTTATTTTTATTATAAAACTATTCTAAATCTTAAATACTTAATAAAAACTAATATTAATAAAAAGCATTTTTATATTTTGTAGAGTAAAT